CTTTGGAAAGCAAATTGCTGACCATAGTTTGTCTCTCCCTTTTTTTTGAGAATAAAAATGAAACCATCCTGATGCTGTATTTACAAGCAAACGATTATGTCGTCCATAAAAAGTTATATTATTTTATATAATATAATATATATATATATATATTTTCCTTTTGGTATTCCCATTTCTTAATAAATTGTGGTTCGCTGATTTTAGATATATTGAAATGATTTGTTTAATTTAGTTTGGATCTTCTGTCTAAATATATCTAATAAAGTACGCCGAATGACAATCCTTTGTATTATTATTTTCTCAAGATAAAAATTTTTTCTCACATTTTTTTTAATTGCATGTATTCATGTATTACAAACATTTAATTTGTAATATACCATACCATAGGTAACGTGTAACGTAGCACGAAAACCGACCCGGCGAATGTCGATCAACAAAAAACCGTAAAAAAAATAAAAAAAAAAACTGAAAGAAAAAAACTAGTGGATCAGTGCGCGGTTGCTCGTAAAATTGAGGAAGACTCTTCCGAATCATTACAAAATGAAATACCGAATTTAGAATAACCGTTTAAGGTTCATTTCAAATTGCTGCATGAAAAGTAATCATTTGGGAACTGTTTATTCTTTGTGAAAGAAATTTGCTGTTATTTTGTTTCCCCCCTAGTCTTAAACGCCAACAACATTTAAAGACACGAATCAAAAGAAAATCGTTTCGCAAAATTCAACTTTTATTGGCAATGTGTTGTGATCGACTCGAATAAACAAAACAATCCTGCAATCATTGAAATAACGACAAATTATTCAGTGTCAAACGAGATTTTTTTGCTTTATCTTGAGATACCTTGTAAAAAATAAATCTTATCGTCACGTGATAGATTTGATCCGTTCTATAAAATTAATTGGGATTTGATTGATTGGAAGCTTTTTTCTTCCTCACTCTTAATTTATATCTATTAATTTTTAATCGCACGACCGTATAAATACTTAAAATTTTGATGATAAAATGAAATCTCGTATATTTTTAACCATTATTTTATTTGAAAAATTTGTAAGCGGTTCACCTTTATCCTCCCTTCCCGTCGATGATGCAATAATAGATGTCAACTTAGATAATGGGTTAAGAGATCTTTATATCGTGTCTGGCGTTTCTTTATTCTTTTTACAATTAAATTGGATCGGAGGTTTATATATCTTTTATCGTAAGCGTAAAGCCAAAAAATTATTTGATCGTTTCGTACTTTTTAAAGATTTACGCGTGCTGAAATAAATTATTCCAGGTACATTCATTAAATGGCGCAGTAGCTCTCGCAAAACCATCCCCCTGTCACTTAGGTTTCCTTTTTATATCGCTATAACTGGTAAAATTATTTTAATCTTGTACAATGTAAAAAAAAAAAAAAAATTTTATCACTCAAATGACTCTCGTAATTTTACAGACTTTGGACTAGCAGTTCCACATACCATTAATATTGTAAGTATCACGTGATCTTGCCCCAAGTAGAACACGATTTTCTTAACATATTTTCATAAATAATTAGGCATACACAATGATTTATAAACGTACGTTATCATCACCAGCCTGTGAATTCTTTGGTGGATTAATGATTACATTTCTTTTACTTAATTTATTACTGATTGGATTTATTGCAATAACGACTTGGTTACGGGTAGTAAAAGAAATAATGTTTAAATTTGGAAAATATGATTACAAATTATGGGCTATCATCGCCGGGATAGCCTTAATATCGGATTGTGTTTCCTTTAGTGAATTCGGTGCAAGTAAATATTGGTAATTACATGATCAATAATTAGATATATATATATATCATTTTTGAATTAATTATTCAAAACCTTTTTTTTCTGTATTAATATAATATTTTATGATCAGGTGCGCAAATATACCAAAAAGCAAAATAATTCCAGGAATTCTCCTAACATTCATTATATTCATATTGGTTACCATTTTAATCTTATATTTACACATTCTACTGATTATTAAAAATATTGAAATCTTATCTATTAATCGTGAACAAACTAGCAGTTCAAGGATAAATTCAATTGAAAATCAGGTTACGTTGAAAATCTTTAGATACATATTAATGTTTTTGTTACAATATATTCCAATTTTGATTTATTGTCTCGGTACCTTATTACAGGTAAGAATCTTGTTGGTGTGGTTCACCTTTCTTTTTTTTTCTTTTTTCTTAAGCTAATCGTTAATGAAATCATTAGATGGATCATATTTTAATACATGCGATAGCATCAACAGGTACGTACGTGTTCAATTACATGTAGAATTGTTCATGATTTAAATGTGAACTTGATCAGATTGATTTTTCTTATTAATAGCAATAAATTTCGGAGCAATTGGAAATGTCATTCAATACATTAAAATTGAAGGATGGTCATTTAAATCAATGTCAAGTTTAAAATCTATTATCACAATGACTACATTACTATTGTCCAAACAAAACGCTCCTAATTTTCAAGCAAAGAGTGACAATAATTCAAAAGAAGTTGATTTTAAAGACGATACTATAGAATTGCATAATATTGTTGATTCTTTTAATATTAATATTGTTAGTAGTGATGACGATTAAAAGAAACGTGATAATATGAAATGAATTAATAAGTTATTGATATAGCTAAGTTTTTAAGCTTTTTTTTTTTTTTTAAAAAAAAAAAAAAAAAAAAAATAAATAATGAATCAAGTGTTTTTTGATTATATATGTATATTATAATTACAAAAACATTTTCTTAACGATAATTTAGAAATTTATACCAATGCTATGTAAAATTTTAGAATACTTATTTATATCTAAGTCTTAAAATATCTTTACATTCCTTTATTGTCTCATTCATCAATAATCAAAAAATTTTAAATTATTACTTTATTATAAATATATAGGAAAATATGATTAATAATACTTACAATATTCCAAGTCATCTATATTTATGTCTAATTCTAATTGTCTTGTCTTATATTCTAAAAAAAAATAAAATTTTAAATTAGAATTTAATTCCAAATCTAATTTTTTTTTTTTTGCCTATGATATGATCTTTTACCTTCTTCCTCTTCTTTAATTTCCTCTTCCTTAATATGAACTACAAATCATAACATAAAATCAATATTTTAGATCATGATAAAAATAAATCCCTTCCCTCTTTCTTACCATCAATGATTTTATGATGCAATGTTGAAAGGTTTTGCCGTAAATTAGGAAAATTCAATAATCTACTGGTATAAATAGCTTCAGGATCGCTTGCAATATTTAGGAATTGTTTCGAAACATTACCAGCCTGTTCAAAAATTGCTTTATGCTCGGGAGAATAAAACCTCCATTTGATGAATATATCACATAGTTCTTTCGTGGAAGGTCGTTTTAAAGGATCATTATCCCAACATCTTTTCATCAGATCACAATAACATTCTGGTATGCCAGTATAAATTTCGGGTCTAACGCCATCACAAATATCGAAAGCCAAGTGTAAATCATGTGGTCTGTTAAAGAAAGGTTGTCGTCCCGTCGCGAGTAACCACATGATCATACCAAAACTATAAATATCGGCAGCAGGTGTATAAGGGAAGCCCCTTATAACCTCTGGCGCCACATAAGGTAATATTCCATATACTCTAGTTTCGTTCTCTTGATTCCGATCATGGTCGATTGGCCTACATAAACCTAAATCACCTATGTGAAATCTTCCCCAACTACGTTCTGATCTTCCTGACCTTTCTGATCTAACTAGCAAGTTACCGCTATGAAAATCGCAATGCATCAATCCCGCCTGATGCAGGAATGCAAGCCCCCATGATATATCCTGTAACGCCAAGAGTTTATCCTTCCATGTTATATTTATATAATTTTTAATTAAATATTTATGTAAATCTTCGTCCGCGTATTGCATTACAATGATATAATCTTTTGTTTCCGGATTTTGAGATAATCCATAACAACGTATGATTCGATTCGTTGTATAATTTGATCTAATAATGATCGCTGGGATCAACTAGTAAATGACGAGAGGATTTTAGTTTTAAAATGGAAACAATTAATGAAAGATGATCATTCACATACCTCCTGTAAGGATTTCATGATCAAATTCTGAGAGTTATTCAACGATTTCAAAGCAATGATAGTTGGACCATCTCGTACTATGTATTTTCCAAGTAATCTATGATATAACTTTGTATTTCCAATAGGTCCATCCAACCAAACAGCAGATGAAACTACACCATAGCCTCCCTTGGCTATTAGTTTGATATCTTTGAATTGATTAAATGGTATCCATTCAACGAATTGGTGGGAATTATGAGAGCTTAATTGTAAATTTTGTATAAAACTATCCATAAATGAACTCTCGCTAGTCCATTTCGAAAATTCTTTACGAAAATATTCCGAGTTACACTTCTGACACCAATATATTCCTACCCTTTTCGTGTTACATGTTGGACATTTCGAACCTATATATCCATTATCTTTAAACCTTTTATAAATGATATGTAAAGTATTCAAAATTGGAATTTTACTATAAGAGCTGTTATCTGAAGATGAACTCATTAATTTAGGGGTTTGAGAATCAGAGTTTTGCTGTGTGACAATGAAATGCACATGTTGCGTATTTATAGCTTTTATTTGTACAACACATGTTTTATTTGTACAAAAAAAATAAGGGAAACTACCGAATATTTTGGCCTAATAACCATTTTTGGTATATAAAAGTAAAATTGATTTTTTCTCTTGCAAAGGTCCCATATATTAGAATGAAAAAAACAGAGTCCGATTTATGAAATAAAGTTCTATATTAAATATCATCTACTTTAAATAATTATTTCGTATCAAAGCAATTGTATCAACAAAGTTGTTTGATTTATCCCATTTATGTTTCGAACATTTAAATCAAATACGCGTAGAATAAATAAATTACTAAAATATCATAGACAATCCTAATCAACCTAAATCAATTAAATATGAAACATAAAGCTATTGACATGTAAATATGTATTACTATCGAGATCATTCTCTCTTGCACTTTCAGATCTTTAAAATTAGTCAATTTTCTGAATCATTATTTTTTTTTTTTTTTAGGATTATACATTATCGTTATGTTAAGATTATAAAATAGTAAAACAAAATAGTACAAAAATCATTTAGAGAATAACCTAGTAATGAATCGTCTCCTATTTCCTTCGCGCGTATTTCATCGCAAGCATTCAAAAGTATTGATCATTTGCTGCATTGTGATCAAAATTGTATTTCTTGCAGATTATTTTTGATTCGTAAAATGAAGAACTTTTGCATAATTTTAAATATTGTAATTCGAGTTAAAATCACGTTACGGATCATATGATTTACGATGTTCCAAAAACCTCTCATTTATTCTGAATATATAATTTTGACTAGCTCTTAAAATAGGTATTTATATTTGTTACGAAAGTCATCTAAATTTCCTTTCTAATGATAACGTCACAGATCCTACCTAAAACATTTATTTAACCATCTCCACTGTTCATCTTTACTCAAATTCGGAATTCCCTTTTCTCATTCTAAATCATGAATATTCTTCGTTCTTATAAATTTATTGCAAAGAGTATTCGTTCTTCTTCATTTCTGTTTGACCACTCATTGATTAATCATCATAAACCATCGATTTTCTGCTTCAGGAGTGGTAAGATAGTTTTTAATTTATAGAAAATAATTTACTTCGCTAAATTTTTTAATCATACATACGCAGCAATGTCGACTTCAACCATTGTCCAAAACGTCGTTTCAACCGAGTGGGTTGCACAAAATCCCGATTCCATCATACTTCTAGATGGATCTTGGCATATGCCAAATGCTAACAGAGATCCCTATAAGGAATATTTGGAAAAAAGAATTAAGGTGATTAGTTATACTTTTTTTTTTTTTTTTTAAAAAAAAAAAAAAAAATAATAATTATTTTTATTATTTGCGACTTTAATAAATGATTTTATTTAGAATGCAAGATTTTTTGGAATTGATGAAATTAAAGATATAAATACTGATTTACCTCATATGTTACCGAGTCCTGCAGAATTTGCTAAAGCAGTAGGTTCGTCAAACAAAAAATTATATATTTTTGCAGAATTTTATTCAAATTTAATTTATGCTGTAGGTGATTTGGGAATCTCTGAAAACGATCGCGTTGTAGTTTATGATTCAATTGGATTATTTTCTTCTACTAGAGTTTACTGGACTTTCAAAGTGATAATTTACGATTTTTCGTCAAATGTTTATTTTTTATTCGTTATTAATTAAAACAATTTTTTTTTCCTTGAATTGATGTCAATAAAGGTCTTTGGTCATGAGAAAGCATCTGTTCTTGACGGAGGATTACCTAAATGGATGGCTGAAAAGAGAGAAATAGAAAGTGGTCCAGTTACATTTAAAGTAAGTAAAAAATATCATCTATTTTTACTTTAAAAAAAACTTGCTTTTTAACATTTTTATTTTTTTTGTTTTAGCCAAAAACATATAAAACTCCAACATTAAGGAAAGAAGTTGTTAGAAATTATGAAGATATTAGAAGGAATATAAATGAAGGACCTGATTCATCAAATTTCGAACAAGTTATTGATGCGAGACCTGAAGCGAGGTAGTTGTTGGGTGTTTGTTTTAACAAAGGTTTTTTTTTTGCCTTAAAAATTTATGAAGCGATAAAATTCTTTAATTGATTAGATTTAAAGGCATAGCACCAGAGCCAAGACCAGGTAACTGTAATACATAATAAACAAAAATCCAGTGAGAGAGATTTTTTTTAATAAATTCTTATAATTACAGGATTACCAAGTGGACACATGCCATATTCTTATTCAGTTCCCTTTAACTCAATAATTGATCCAAAGACAAAGACGACATTATTACAAGATGACGAGTTAAAAAGATTATTTGAAACCAAAAGTATTGACTTGAATAAACCTATTGTATTAAGTTGTGGTAGTGGGGTTACTGCTACCATGTTATATCTAGCTTTAGAAAAAATTGGCGTTAAAAAATTAGCCGTTTATGATGGTAGTTGGACTGAGTATGCTAGTAGAAAAGGTTCTCCTATAGTTGGAAGAAAATAGAAAATCGTGTGAATTAAATAAATTTCTATTTAGGGAAAAAGTTGTTATGTATGCACAAATCTGGGATTTCCCCGGATTTCAATTTCGCTGATCATTCCAAAAATCTCTCCAAAAAAGTTGATGATACAACATTGATTTAAACTGTTTCCAAAAATTTTTTTTTTTTTAAAAAATAAAATTCTTACCAAAGATGACCACAAATTTCTCTCCTGACATTTTTTGATATTTTTTAAATTATTTTAACTTTGGAAAGCAAATTGCTGACCATAGTTTGTCTCTCCCTTTTTTTTGAGAATAAAAATGAAACCATCCCGAAAAACCTCTATACTACAAACTTATGTCACCAAACATCCATTGACGTCATATGATGGATATGCTGATTCCGATGATATTACCACCAGCGTTCAACCCAGCTCTGTTTTTTTGTATAATCAACCGACTGGAAGCGTTATGAGGTCTAGAAGAAATACTTTTACTTACGGTCAATCTGGAGAAGGAAGTTCTCAACAACTTGTACCACCTGGCCTTAATATGGATAGTCAACTTGTTCCTTACGCTAAAGAGTGGACAGTCATATTGTAAGCTATTATCAATAAAGTTTTGAAAGTTTTATTAAATTTCTTTCTAATATCATGAGATAATTGTCAGGCGTAACGAAACCGCTGGTCAGTTAGTTCTTTATAATGCTACCAATCGACGCGTTTCGGTTAGAAGGTTACCACCAAATAATAACCCACAACCTCAGGTTTCTTATCTCTTAATGATATAATTAAGATTTATTTAAGAGAATTTTTCCTTTTTGGTTGGAATATTAATCTAATTATAAAAAAATAATAAAGGCATTGATTACACCAAACACGTGTACATATTGCGGGAGGCCCTTTGAAACAAATCATCATAGGTCTGGTGCTGGGGTATGTTTCGAATATTTCATACATATATATATATATAATTTTTTTTTTTTTTGGTTTTTTTTATGTTTAATTATTTTTTAATGAAATATTAAAGTCATCAAGTACAGATTTTATACATAGGAATTATTTTCGTTTATTAGAAAATTCCGAAAGGTTAGTACCATAGGTTAATTTAAATTTATTCATTGTCTTGAGCTCGAATTTATTGATTCTCATGATTTTGTTTATAGCGTTCACCCCGAATCATTACCAATTGGAGAACCATATCCCTTTACAGAACCTTCAACAGAATTTACATTCATAAACTCTCATGAAGAAGAAATACATGCTACTCTTTCACATGATTCTTTTAATCAAGGATATTACGAGAGATTTTTTATTGAAGAAAAAAAATTGGGAAGAGGATTTCGAGGCTCTGTCTATCTGTGCAAGGTAAGTCTTAAAGATGTGAAGATGGATGTTTCTTTGAAAAATATTCATTAAACTCTAATCGAAAAAAAATAAATAAATAGCATGTTTTGGATAATGTACAGTTGGGAGTGTATGCTGTCAAGAAAGTTGCTGTTGGTGATGATCATGCGTGGTTGGTTAGGATGCTAAGGGAAGTTCATTTATTGGAAAAATTACATCATCCAAACATTGTGGACTATAAGCACGCTTGGCTAGAAAACCATCAATTAACAAATTTTGGACCACAAGTTCCGTGTTTATTTATTTTAATGGAGTTTGCTAATGGAAGGAATTTAGAGGAATATATTGAACATTCATCAACTTTTTCAATGCAACAAGATCCAGAAGAAGCGAAATTTAGTACAAAAGAACGTATATTACGTGCAAGGAGAATGAGACATGCACCCGAACAATCATCAACTCGTGTACCATCAAAACGTTCTTTAAATTTACAAGAGATTTGGCTATTTTTCATAGATATCTGTGAAGGGTTGGCCCATTTACATAGGCATGGTATTGTGCATAGGGACCTGAAACCTCCGAATTTACTATTGCATTATGACGAAGAGAGAACTGCCATGTTAGTATTTTGATATTATATATATATATATATATATATGTTATTTCGATAATTTATTGAAATCAATTTGGGTGTTTTATTATCAGACCAAGAGTTTTGATATCAGATTTTGGTGAGTGTGAAATATTAGATCAACTTTCAGAACGTGATCGAACTGGTGCTACCGGAACGCTCGAATTTATGGCGCCGGAATTATTGTCGGGTAAAAATCTACGTTTAATATTTTTATTATCTTTTTATTTAAAGATTTTTAAATAAATACATATTTATATATACACATTTGTAGTTGATGAAGGAGGAAATTTTTATAAAGATTATTCACCAAAATCTGATATGTGGTCACTTGGAATGGTTCTTTATTATCTTTGTTATTCAAGGCTTCCTTATCATCAAGTTGATGATGTTGACTTATTGAAAGAGGAGATTTTACATTTTGAAGGGTTAGTCATATCAATTTTTTTTTTTTTTCGTGAGCAATTAATTATTTTTATAATGAAATATTAACAGCCCTAAAATTTTTTTTGTAGAGTCTCATTCCCAGAAAGCTTAGCTTCTTCAAGTTCATCATATATAATCCCTCTACAACTTAAAAATTTGATTAAATTATTATTGTCAAAGAATAAGAAAATTAGACCTTCTTGTGATGAGATATTGAAATCTGTTGGAGATATTCGAGCAAAGTTTGCAAACAACGTTTATAACGAAGCTCCAGTTGTAAGCGTAATTATTTAAAATTACATTTTTTATGGGTTTGGTAAATTCTAAATAGTTTTTTGAATTGCCGTTATAGGAATCATCATTTAATCCACACATCACATCAGATCCTACCGTACAAAGAGGATCGTCTAAACTTGTTCGTATTCCTTCAAATAATACAATAGTTTCATTATCAAGTCAAGAAGATGTCGAATTATCGCCAGATTTGGAGTTCCCCGTTTTGTCCGACAATTCCACCACGAGTAAAGTTGATCTTCATCCAATATCGATGTTAGATGATTCATCTACTGAACCTTCTGACTCAGCGAATTTACGTAGACGTAATAAAATTGTTGAGAAAGTTCAAGTTTTGCAGGAGACCATTAACGAAAGTTCTTCCAATTCTGGTGTTGAAAGGAATTTTGACGTTGGACAAACTTCAATAGTTCAGGTAGAATCATGTTATTTTTGATCGGTAAAAATTTTTTTTTTTACTCATTTATTATTCTATTCATTCATTAAAGAATGATAGCCAAACAGCCATTGTTCGTGCATCACCTTTAAGAAATTCACTTTATAAAATGTTATGTGCTTATAAATTTGAAAGTGGATGGTGGAGAGTTCTTAAATTTTTCATGGTCGTATTGAAGGTATTGATCAAAAGAGACGACCTTTATTAATTTATGAAATGTTAATGTAAAAATTATATTTTAACAGATTACGACATGCCTGGGGTATTGTTCACCTTATCTACCTCCTCCTTTGATGTTATACCCCGTTATTATTTTTGCAATGATGGACCTTTATACGTAAGTGATTATATATTTATTATGTTTGTGTTTGTTTTATTATTTATTAACCAGTAAAAGTTATCGTACAACTCTTAAATAGTGACCGGATAATCGTTACTTTTACATTTTTGATAATACACTGCATTTTGGTCTATCTTAATAACGTATGTTAGATGGATTTACAGGAAAAATTGATGGAAGAAATAATTTAATTAGTAATTTTGTTTTAATAAGGGTTTGACATAATTACCTAATATGTCACTGTCCCGATGTAGTCCATAGCAGTCAATTGTAAGCCTTGTTTCTTTGTAACAATAAAAAAATGGAATATTTTTTTTAAAAAAAATCGAGATATTACAATGTTAACTAGAAATACAGGAACAACAAGAACAACAGGTTTGACCCTATAATAACCTTTATTAAGCCATTGCAATTGTATTGTCACGCGTTTTGATTTTACTCATCTTCTTACAGACGAATATTGTAATGATAAACCCGTGATTTTGGATGAATCTAAAGCAATTTCCAGAATAAGGGATAGTCCGAAACAAAAGTCACTTGGAAACATGATCAAATTTTTTGACCAATTCTCGATTTTTACAATTTCATAGATCTAATTTGTGGATGACCTCGATGATACAATGAAAATTACATGAGCGCTTTATCCTTAAATGCTAATGAAGTTTCGGCCAATTTTTAATTTCAGATCTATTAATTATGATTTTCTTTTTTTTAATGATGAACGCGTGCAACGAAAGTTAACAAAAACAAATAATTAGTATATTAATAATACCTAGCACCAATTATTTTAGAAATGCCGGTAAAATAGCCAATATGTGACGCATTTATTACATTTAATTTTTTTTTTTTAAAAAAAAAAGTATAATTGATCTTGGAAATAATTTTACGAACAATAGTACTGAATTTACTTGAAGAAAGAAAATCCTTTAGTATCATTCTCCAACATTTATCATTATATCAACATATATATAATATCAAGTCAAGGAAATCCTACTTTAACTCGTACTTAATAATCTAATCAAAGGTCGAATAATTTATTACCAAATTAATCAGAGGTCAAAACTATTTTAACGTTTTTATGTACCATTGAATGATTGGAACTAGTAATATTTTGAAATTAATAATTTACAAGAGACTTTTATAATGAACTTTTAATTAATGTACACGTGAATAAGATAAAAATTTTGACGACTTCAAAAGGTATTAACTTATACAAACATCATTTTCATCAAGTTATAAAGGAAAGGATCGGAGATTGATCGTATTTTGTAGGATATGACGATTCGGTCTAAATTACTTTTTTTTTTTTTTATTATTATAATAGCCAGATTTAAACCAAATTAAAACATAATTTTTAACACGCAGTTTGTTACACAATTTACAAATGAATTTGCATAAAAGGTAAATTTTATTATACAAAAATGAACTTTCTTTTACCATTTACAACTTTTTAAATTTTAAAGAAATATCTCTCTCTCTCTCTTTTTTTTCTTTAAGAAAACTTTGTTAAATATGCCCTTTAAACTTCCCGCTGAATGTCTTAATGAGATTTTTGAATATTTAGAGGATGACAGGGTTGCTTTACATTCAAGTTTATTAGTCAACCGTTTTTGGTGTGAAATTTCCGTTCGAATATTATGGAGGAATATTTGGAGTTTTAAATATACACTTTCCATACGATATCAATTAGGTTTTGAATCCCAAATCCTTGGAACTTTGATTTCTTGCCTTCCCGATGAGTCAAAGAACCTTTTATTTAAGAGTGGGATTTTTATCGCTACCCCAACTTCTAAACCTCCATTATTCAATTATGCATCATACTGTAAAGCACTTTCAATTCATGAAATTGATCAAATGATCCTTTGCGTTCTTGAAAACCAACAACCTATCACTTCACGTAGCATAAATTACAATAAATACCTAGTATCACAAGAAATCTTAAAAATGTTTATGAAACAAATTCCTTCCTTAAAAGAGTTGAATTATAACTCAACCGGGGATAGGGAGAATACGGGGAATATCATTTTCACTTACTTTCCTGGATCGATAAATTGTTTAGCATACCTTCAAGTATTAAATTGTAGTTCAAATATTTGTTCCGAATTTTATTTTCAACTGTCACGAGTGTGTTGCAATATAAGGTCACTCGCTATAGAATTTGAAGAGTTTGCTTCTCAAGGATTAAAAGATTTGATCTCTTCTCAGAACAATTTAAAATGTTTGACATTAATGTTATATGATTACAGTGTGAATTGGACGGAACTTATACCTTCTTTAACGAAACATTCGACCACCTTAACAAAGTTAAAACTCAGCGGATATGGACCTTTGTCATTTATCTCGATCTTCTCGAATTTACAAGAGCTCACTTTAACATTTAATTATGAAGAGTATTTTGAAGATTTTAAAGAGTTACAATACGCTTCCTTCCCTCAATTACAAATCTTAAAATTTTTATATAAATACCCGAAACGTGAGTATTTGGCCAAATTTTTAGAGATCAATGGTAAAAGTTTAAGAGGTTTTTGTGCGGTAGGTTTCGATAATTCGTTAAATTTGACCCTGGCTAGATTTTGTCCAAACCTTCGATCACTCTATATCACGATCATGAAGAATGAAATCGAAAGGTTAAAAGGAATCTTGAACGGTTGTCAACAATTGGAGAGTATAAAAGTTTGGTGCGGTAATGAATATTTAAAAGAGAAGGATTTTTTGGAAATTTTGGTAAAATTTTCATCAAAGAACCTTTATAAATTAAAATTATATAACGTATCAAACTCTTTATTAACCCCGGATGATTTGGAGAAATTCTTTACGAGTTGGATGAATCGTGTACCACGAAGATCACTTTATTTGATCATCATTAAAGGATTTGGTATAAGTAGTTTGGAGGTTAAAAAAGAAAATATGGAAATAATCGAAAAGTATAAAAAGTTGGACGTCATTAGAAAATTCGAAACTATAAAGTACTTTGACGACTTTGCTGTACTTTAAAAAAAACAACAATATAAAAAAATAATATATATATAAATAGTCATCACATATGTAAATACCAATTATTTAACAAAAATAAATTAGATTTTTGACGATCTTAGCAATACTCGAGTAAATTAAAATATTAATTTATTAAAAATTTAACTCGAATAATCTTTATTAAAAGAATAAATAACCATCATAAAAAAAATATATTGTATATCATTTCGGAATAGAGGCGTTGATAATTTTCTTTATGATAAAATAGTATTTTTTATAATCTTTAATAATAAAGGAATGAAGAAATTCTTTGGGATTTAATTACTATATAGTAACTGATATATTTTTTTGCTTTATAAAAAATGAAACTGTAATACCTTTACTAATATTATTTCAATTTCATGAAATAAACCACCATTTGAATTTTCTTAATTTGATGATTCTAATAAACTAAAGATCATTGATTTCTAATTAATAAATACTGAGATATCTGCAATTACAAATTTGATCTTGAAATTTAAATAGAATTAATTTTGATTAATAAATTAAAAATAAATATTTTATTCAATATTATTTTATATAAAATAAAAATTATTTAAATTCTCTTCTTATTTAGATAACTCTAATAAAACTAAAAATTATTGATTTCTGATCAATAAATATAGAGTTGAATATTTATAATATTTTTAAATTATAAAAGTAATATGATATCAACTATTTTAACTTTTTTTAAAATTTAAATTATATTAATTTTAACTATTTGATCATTAAAAATATTAAAAATAAATAAAAGTTTATCTTTTAATTTGTTAATATTTTCTTATAATTAATAATCTAAGAAATTAAAAGCAAAGTAATTAAGATTGAATTCTATTAAATGATATTTATTAATAATTCTAACCTTTTATTTTTCATTACCATAATATTAAAAATTATTTCTTTAAATTTAAGTTATTTAATATATTCTTTCGTTATAAATATAAATATTAATATTATAAATTAAATGAAATTAATTTAATCTTTCTTTTTTTTATATTATTATAATAAAATTTTATATAATAAATTTTTAAATATTTTTTTTTGTGTTTTTATTAAAATATCAAAAAATATTTGAACTTGAAAAATATATGATAATATTTAAAGGAAATAATATAGAAAAAAATATTTTTCATATATCTTAAAAAAAGAAAAAAAACATATTTTAATATTTTATAATAATAAATTTTTTACTTAATTAATAAGAAATATAGGATATAAGCTAAATTAAGTAAATTATTATTATAGTCAACTCTCTTTAAATGCATCCCCTTAGAACTATAGTAAAACTTTTAAAAAATGTGCATTTAAAGAGGATGTGCATTTAAAGAGAAAATTTCTATATGAATTCTATATACTTATGACTGAATAAGAGTATGCATTTAGAGAGAAAATATATAGTATATGTATTTAAAAAAGATACATTTAGAGAAGGTTGACTGTATATAAAAAAGGTAATGAAAATTAATTATGATAAGTAAATTTTAATTAAAGTTTATAGAAAACTTAAATTAAATGTTAAGCAAATTGAGAGTTATCCTTAAGCTCTAAAAAAAGTATAAATAATATAAACTAGAAAAAAATAATAAAGGATACGAAATAGTTAAATATCTTATTAAATAAATAAAATAGGTTTTATTTTCAAATTATTTGCTTTTAATAATAATTCAAATCATTCTGCATTTGCTTTTGATATATAGATTATAAAGAAAATAAATATTAGATCTGATAAAAATGCATTAAAAATATATAATACTTTTTAAAGTCTAATTAATAAAAGCTAAAATATGAATTTTCTAATAGTCTGCTAAAGAGTATTAAACAAGTTTTGATTAAACGAGAATTATGAAAAAATTAAAGTTATATAAAAATTAAATTAATAATTCTTTATTATAGATTACTATAAAAGATGGATTATATTTTTTCAATTAAATTATTTAATTCAAAAATCTGCATTAGTTGAAATAATTAAAAAGGCTAATGATATTTATATATTTTTCTAAAATTTATTATAAATTAAACTTTATTAAATACTATTTAAAAGTAACTAAATAATATATATAAAATAATTATAAATATATATAAAATGAATTGTAAATAATAGTTTTTCACATATTATATTCTATAAAATTTAATAATCATTTATAGATTTACAAAAAAAATTTAGTAATATATAAATTTATATAAATTACAGGTAAATTATTTGAATAAATTATTAAAAAATATAAATTACATAGAAAATTTCTAAAATATATTAAAAAAATTAAATAAAATAGTCTTTTAAAAATTTTTACTTTGATTTTTTATTATAATTTAATTAATTAAATTATGTAGTTGATTAATTAAATAAATTGATAATTTAATATTTAATTATGTGATAATTTAAATGTGATGAAACTGAAATTATTTAATTGTAATGATTTTAGATAATCAAAATGATCTAAACTACTTTTGACTATTTGTTAAAAAATTTGAAAATTTAAATTAATTATAATAATCAAATTCAATTATATAGTTAAAATTCATTATAATAGTCAAAATTAATTATAATGATTAAAATCAATATTCTATAAAATTACTTTATATTAAATTTAATAAAAATCTAATCTAATCTAATTTTCATTTTTATAAATCTAATTTAAATTTAAATTTAATCTGAATTTAATAAATTAAATTTCAAATCTAAATCTAATAGATCTGACTTTAAAGAAATTCTAAAAGTTACTTTTATTAAAAAAACAAATTTTTAGTTTTAATAAAAATTTGAAAATATATCTTTTTATTAAAAAAAATTTAAAAACATCTTTCTTTTTATTAAAATAAATATTCTTTAGTTCTAAAAAAATCTGAAAAACTTTTTATTAAAAAAAAATAATTTTTAGTTTTAAAAGAAACTGAAAAATCTTTCTTTTCATTGTAAAAAATTTTTAGGTTTAATAAAAATTCAAAAAATTTTTTTTTTATTAATAAAAAATTTTTAGTTTTAAAAAAAATCTGAAAATATTTCTTTTTATTGAAAGAAAACAATTTTTAATTTTAAAAAGATCTGAAAAATATTTCTTTTTTATTGAAAGAATCTGAATTTGAATCTAATTTTAATGAATTAGATCTGAATTTAAATTTAAATTTAATGGATTAAATCTGATCTGAATCTGATTTAAATCTAATCTAATAGATCTAAATTAGGTTTAGATTAATTTAAATCTATGTAAAACATTAATCAAAATTAATTATGAAAATACATATAGGAATTTTATATTAAAAAAAAAAGAAACTACTAAAAAATTTTTTTTACTTTTATAAGTTAAATATTATTTTTTTTAGTAAAATAAATTCAGATTTAATATTAATTCAAAAAAAATTTTTGGTAGTTTTCTTCTTTTCTACTATAAAACATTCATATAATATTAAAATATATTATAATAATTAAAATGCTTTATTAATACATTTTTTTATTTTATTTTTTTATATATATTTTTTTTTATTTTAATAGTTCAATTTTTTTTTTTTAATTTTAATTTAATTTAATTTATTTTTTTTATTTTTTTATTATTTTTATTTTGATCAATTTTTTTATTGATTTAATCCTTTTTATTTTATTTTTTATTTATTTATTTTATTTTGATCAATTTTTTTTTCAATTAATTTAATTCTTTTTTATTTTTTTTAAAAAAAAAATAATAGTAGCAATAATATAATATTATTATATATTTTTTAAATTTTAATATATATTATAATATTTTTTTAAATTAGTTTTTAAAAGTATTTTTTAATTTTAACTATTATAATACATTTTATCATAATGCAATTTGATCATTATAATGTAGTTTGACTTTTAATTTCAATTATAACTTTTAAGTCAAAATATTTTAACTTTTGAATTTTAATTTTAACTTATATATAGTTATTATTTTTAATTAGATAAATGTTATATAATAAATTTATAATTAATAAAAAAATTTAGCCTGTTTAATTTTTATATGATCTGTATTATAAGATATCTTTAAAATTATATTATTATTCTTCTAAATCTTCAATTAACATAAATAATAATATATAAATTTAAAAATTATCTATATACTTATTTAATATGAATCACATCAAATAATTTAATAGTATATAAATTTATTTAAATATTGGTGACCAAAATCTTTAATTTAATTAAAATAACTAATTAATCACTAAATAAATTATTTTGATACTTTATAAAAGTTTAATATAATTATATATCAATTAAAGCAAGTATATAATATCTAATAAATAATTATTAAAACTTTTTCAAAATAATTTCATTTATACTTTTTTTTTATGTTTTTAATATAATTTTAAAATTTTCAACTTTTATTATATCAAAAAGATTTCATTATATTTTTTATTATGATTTTAATATAATTTATCTAAATTTTAATTATTATTAAGATTCTGTCTCTTATTCATAATATTTAATTATACTATATTTATTAATAATAAAGAAATTCATATAACTTAATTTATTTTATAAATTTTTCAAATATTTATTATTTAAATAATATTATTGTTAAATATCAATATAAAAAAATTAAATAAATCATTATAATATTAATATTAAATACAAATGATTTTATATTTATATTATAATTTTTTGTAATTTCTTGAAAACAATATTAAATTTGATTAATTAAATACAATTTTCTATTTTGCAATTTATTAATATAAGATTAAGTAATTAATATTATTAGAATTTATAATTATTATATTTTAATAATATATAATTCGCTTAAATACTATTATCTGATTTTATTTAATATATAATTTATTATATTCAAATTTAAAGAAATTTTAATAATTGTATTTAGCCTCATCTTAAATAGAATTTTCTTATTATTTTTTTTTTTTTCATATTTATTATCATTTTATTCTTTTATTATTAATTACTTTTATTATCAAAAATTTTTTTTAAGTTATTTATAAGAGAATCAAATAAATAAGTATTTTATTTTTAATAATTATGATTATAAGATACATTATTTTTTAGTTAATTAATTATATTTATGAGATTTTCAAATAATACTATAGTATAATTATTAAAATTAAACTCTTAACATTTATAATATCAGAAGGTAATAATTTTGAAATGATATATTCTTATCTTCTTTAACTAATTTCTTATAAAGTCTTCTAACACTAACCTATTTTAGCTTATTTAGATATATATTAATAAATACAATATAATTCTAGAGAATATATAAAATGATATGTTATTAATACATTACTAATACATTTTTAGTAATTATTTATCACAATTTTGTATATTTGTTAATAAATTGATTTTTGCATATTTTTTTAAAATTAAAACATATGAAAATTAAATCATAGTTATACAATTAAAATTTATTAATATAAAAATTAAAGTTTAAATTATTGAATAAATATAACAGTATTTAAAATAATTTTTATAGTTAAAAAATAATTTAAATAAAACAACGACTTTAATAACAAATAAAAGTGGTTTAATATTAATAAATTGGTTAAAAATAAAGTATTATAAAAAGATTGATTTCATATTCTATTTCTTTATTAATAATCATTTACATGAAAAAGAAAATTGTAATAATTAGAACGTAAAAAAGTAGAGTTTTATTTTAAGATGATTTTGTAAATATAACATGAAAAGGTTCAAGATAAATGAATTTATTATTGGTTAAATAACATTTATATTTGGCAATATTCATTATTAAGATGATTGTTGTATAAAATAAAAAGCGAAATGACTGATAAATCAACTAAAAGCACTTAATTAATACACAGTAAAAAGAATCTAAATATGTGTAGAGATAGAACTTTTAATAAAGCGAAAATTAGAAAACAATCGTATATGGGAAGATCATATAAAGAAAGTAAGTGAACAACAAATTATGTTCGTAGTAGAAAGAAATAATGGAAAAGGGAAAAAAAGAATATACCATCCTTCATTTATATATACCAAATTGGGAAAAAATAGTTTCACGTATACAACAATGAAAACTAGCGAAGAAGGATTGTCAAATGAATGAACTGAAAAGTGAGCTGATTTTTTCTTTGACCTGATGGGATTATTGTTTCCTTTAATATAGCGATAAAATGTCCGTAAGAATTTTATGAAGGCGTAGAAGAATACTTCTATGTGTCTTTTGAGATCCATATAGGTTTGGCGATAGTTTTAACTCTGAGCGGTGCCAAATCTTTTTGAAAGTCATATATATAGAGTACTTTTAATTACATATAAATCAGATACAATTCCTTTTTTAAGATTTGATTCATTATTGACCGATTCCAGTAGCTTATTTTCTAATGGGATAGATTGAAACAATGTACTAGGTGCATCTATTTCTTTTTCGAAAGAATAAATAAATTTCGATATCAAGTTTGTGCAATGTGTAATTAGTTATTAAGGGATTGTCCATACTATATATTCATTTGATTAAAGTGTTGAATGAGTTCAAGTTCGAATGTACAGACATAACAATACTGTTGTGTTAATTATAAGTTTAAAATTTATTTTATTTTATTTTATTTTATTTTGTAAAGAATAAGACAAGAATTTATCTGCAACTTATTGATTGATTACCTCGTTTCTTTTCGAATTAACAGCTAAATATTTATTGATCGAACTTTTCGGATCATTAAATCGATTTAGAACTTTACAGTATGAATTTTTTTAAGATTCAGAGTCAAAATTTGTATTACACAATTACTCTAAATATTTCTCCGTAAAGTTCACCCCAAAAACGATTAACAATCGAAAAGTTTCATAAACTGTTACAAACAACAATTAATAACAAATTTCATCAAAATTTCCCTTTCAACTTTACTTTTACTTTTCCTTTCAAAAAATATATACTGTAAATGTTAATATTTTTTTTTTTGTGAATAATTTAAAAACTTTTAATTTCATTGGCACGAAGCAAGATTAAAACAAGTTCATGTACTAGTTAATTAATCACCTGAATTTGAATCATTTATGGAACATCTATCATTTTTTTACTATTAATATCTGACAAAATTTTTTTAAGTTGTTAAATATGGTACTAAAATAGTTGGTCACCAAAATTATTTGCAACACAAAATCACATCACTAACATATTCGTTAATTATATTTAAAAATCTTTTTTTTTTTTTTTTTCCTTTTCCTCTTCATTTGTTCTTTCATTAAATAAAATAATATCCATCATTCTTTAAATACCTCTATCGGTATATATTCAATAATTATTTAAATCAAGGAAAAAAAGAGGAAAAAAAAAAAAATTAAAAATTAAAAAATATTTTAACAATTTTTTTTTTTTTAAAAAAAAAAAAAAAAAAAAAAAATGGATAGTTTACCTTCACAAAATTCATTTCCCCAAGTTTATTCCTTACAATCACCTTCCTTTAAAAAACCAATACCATACCTTCCACCCGAAATAATAACAGAAATTATTTCATGTGTTAATGAAGACGATATAAAATCATTATATTCAATAATTCAAGTAAATAGAACGTGGTTTTCTTGTTCAATTCATATCTTATGGAGGCAACCATTTAAATATATTTCATTGACAGGTTATTCAAAATTACTTAAAGTTTATATTTGGTTTCTACCCGAACAAACCAAATTGAAGTTACAAAATAATTATTTTAACTTTGATGTTAAAGAATTCCATAAGAAACCTATAGTGAATTATTTAAATTATTTAGAAAATTTGGAAATAGAATTTCGTAGTTTATATTGGGCGATTAAACTATTATTACCTACCCTTGAAATCGAAGGAAACGATGAGAAACATGAAGATAATAAACAAAAACAGGAACGACAGGCTCAAGCTCACGCTTTATTAATAGAATTATTTAATTTATTTAAAGAAAATTGTCCAAATTTAAAAAATTTTAAAATGAATTATCCAAACGAACATTTATCATTGAACGCTGAAGATTTAGAGAATATTTGTACAAGTAAGTATGGTGTATGCATTTATAATTCATGATGTGATTTGAATAAAAAGAATGACCTTTTTTTTTTTTTTTTCTTATTTCCAGACCTAACGGATTATAAATCGACTTTTCATCGTCCACGACCTCGTCGTCGTCGTAATGCTGCTATATAGATTTTTATTTCTCAAGATATTATTATCCTTTCGTTTATTTTTTTTTCAAAAATAAAAAAAAAAAAAAAAAAAAAATAATTGACAATTTAAATAAAGGATTTTTTTTTTTAAAAAAAAAAAAGTGTCGCAATTTTTATAAATTTCAAGAATTTAAAGGTCCAAATATTTTAATACAAGCAACAAGCCATTTTGCGAGGATGATTCAATTTATTAACGTGATTTAAGATTTCTGACAATTAAATTTGTTTAGATATTAATTACTCAGATTCAGAAACTTCATAATCTGATTGCTCTCGTTCTTTATAAGATTCTATTTTAATTTTTTTCAAATTAATATGTGAAATAACTTTATCACATTTCCGTATCCTTTTCACTTGTAAATTTTCCAATTCTTTTATCACCACTCGCTTCACCGTCGTCTTGTCACCCATCATTTTCCCTTCCTTGCCCAAATTCGAATCCTCCTGTCTTCCTTCCCTTACATGAAAGAAAGCGATGTCATCACCCCGATCCAATAATATTTCTTGTTTGATCTTATCGATAGGTAGTTGTAACCTGGTGAAATTTGTTAATTTATTGAGAGGTACAAATTTGACGGAATTTTGATTTAAACAATTAGAAATATTGGGATTAATATTAATTATTTGAAATACTTCGAACTTTTTTATAGACCAATCCTTTCTTTGTTCCAATTCCGGGGGTAAGATCGATCTCGAATAATTATTTCTCCTACATATGCATTGACAAATATCTCGGTTCTTCCGATCCCTTTTAAAAGTTAACCCTAAATCACTTTCACCAAATATTGGACCAAGGTTTGGTGAAATGAATAACTCTTTAACATATTCTTTTTCGTCATTGTTAATTTTACTAAGAATCGATTCATGGTTCTTCCTAAAAGAAAAGATAAAAGATTTTCCTGATTGCATCCAAAAAGAAGTCTTTTTGGATTCTGATTTCCAATATGCGGGATTATAACCACCAACGATGATATCATTATCATATTTTATTACAACTACCGTGGAAGCGAACCCATCACATCTTGAATGAAATGCTTTAGAAGTTAAACCGTTTAACTCACTATCATAAAGCAGCTTAAATTCTACTCTATCAGTTAATTCTTCAGGATTTCTTTTAAAATAATCTAAATCACTAGCCTCTATCCAATCCGTTATAATCGCTGCATGTTTCGATGTTATGATTTTTGATTGTATCGGTCCCCTTCTTATATCTTCCGATGTTGGAAATTTCGGTTTCTCTTTTTGTTCGAAATGATACCGTAATAAATTTATGTATAAATTATCCGGTAGAATTCTTGAGAATGGTCCTACTTTAAAATAAAACATCTTTGATGACATTTGATCAAATCTAATCCTCGTGAGAAGTCGTTGTAAAGTATTTCGTAACGCGTCTAATTGTTCATCATTCAACTCAATTGTTTTGCCTGTTTGAATTCTCTCCTTCAGATGTAGTTTAAATTCCTCGCTGAATAAAGTTGGATAGTTTAACATTCCCCATTCAATAATGTAATCCCAATATTCTGATTCTTCATATTTAAGTTCATTCATTCCAAGTATGTCATATATAATATCCTCTCCCATATTATTAATTGAAAATATTAACATTGGATTCGACAAAATGAATGTCAAGCATACTTCCTTGAGGGTGGTTAGTTTTGGTTGTTGAGATATTAACGGAAAAATGACGGACAAGTTCTTTTTTAACCATTTCGTTTTTCTTTTAAATTGTTCTTGCAATGGATCAATTAATTTGTCTAGATGTAATAAGTCTGCCGCCAACAGAACCCCAATTCCATTCATATATTTCTTTCCGATTATCAATTTACCACAATAAAAGGCGCTGATATGCAAAAAAAAAATAAATAAATAAAATTTTTAGCCTCCAAACACTTTCGAAGGCAATTATCTAAAAAAGCGAACAACTTTTTGAAGATGGGTTCTTTATGACTTACTCCAAGATAATTTTGAAAACATCCGGGTGGATAGGTAAGTAAATGATGAATTTAGCACCACCTAACGCGGGTCTAAAATATGTTGACCTAGCACAAAGTAACAATGAATGACCGAAGAATACTTTCGCGTCATCCCCTTCGCCACAATAAATTTCAACATCATAATTTTTTTTTATAACCGACAAAAATAAGTCGTTATCATCATCATAGATAGTCTTTTCCAATGGTATGACTTCCATTAAGGGTTTATTAGCAAAAGAATGAAACAAAAAAGCAAAAAGCAAAAAAAAAAGGGGATAATCAATAAAGCGTTTAGAAATCCACTAAGGATATGATGTTCTTTATTTATTTATTTTTTTCAAGAAAAGCTTAAGAAGTTGAGAATAAGGAACTTTTAAATATCCTTTGAGAAAATGAGTTAGGAATGCGAAATCAGCTGCAGATCCAAAAATTTTAAAATAAAATCCAGTTCTTTTTTATCAAAGAATTACACGTGGATCTATTTTGAGAGAGTAAGTGCAAAATAGAATAAAAAGATTTGTAGTATTTAGTAAAATTTTAGTTTCGCGTCATTTAAGTTTCACGTGTTTTATTGATCTTATTTAATAATTTGATGACGATAATGAATCAATATGTAATTGCTAACTAAGGTATGTTTTTATAAAAAATATCCGTGGATATCTGTTGCGTATTAATTAATTCACAATAATGAATTTAAGATACCGGCAATTAATGGTTAAGTATGTCTAAAAGGATTATTGTGTTATAAATAATGCAGCACAACAAACACGATTGTCCGAGATCCATCAAGTAAACACAATCTTTATATGAAAGAAAAATAAATATTATTATATTATTTGTATCACAACATTTCGCATCAAAATAATGCATGTTAAATCCTGATTTGTATCAGTAATGAAAGTCATAATGAAATTTGTGATGTTATGGGTGCTCTTTTTTTTTTGAATTGGCCAAGACTGAACCTATTTCTATTCGATTCAGGTTAAGTACTTAAGTGGTTAATAATCATTAATTCAAATATTTAAATAATTACTTAATTAACGTAGTTACTTTTAAAAAAAAAAAAATTCGTAGCAAGTAATTTCACCAAAATTTCGCATGATTTTTAAGTTTTCGTCATATTTTGCTTATTCAAACGCGACTTTTTTTTTCATTTTAAACTTTTCATTTCGTCATACTTTGTCTAATTGGTCAGGAATACATTTTACACCTCAGTTCTTTTACCTAATTTTCGTATATATAAAGCATATTTTATTGTACTATGACTCGATTTTAAAGATTCAAAGTTGCTTTTGGGGAATGACCATATGCATTTATTCGTAAAACAGTTTTTTTTATTAACCTCATCAAATGTTCACTAAGTTCATCCTTATTCTGATTTAACAAATAGATACGTATGTCTTTGAGGCGAGAAACTTAAGTCTATGAAAAAAAATAATTCACGTGATTTTTTCGTGCCTCTATTTTCAGCAAATTTTAACCAATCATTTCTTCATCATTATCACTTTCAAGATCAAATCTAACCTTCTTTTCTTTTGTTGTTTGTTCTTCACCGAAATCATCATTTTCAAAAATTATTTCACTATGTGGTACGGATAATTTGTTGTGTTTATTTATATCTTGAGCATTATCTTCTTTATCGGTTTCGTATCCGGTATTTTCATTGTCATTGTTATGAAAGAATTCAGCCTGTGATCCTCTACTTGAACTTCGTGGATGTAAAAGGAAGTTAAATAATTGATTCAACCTCCAAACTGCATTAAATACGATTATGATAAATAATATTAATAGGGAAAGATACGGAACTAGGTAAAGGTTTAATGACTTTTGATAATAAATTAGCTAAAAAAAAAAAAAATACATAAAAAATTGTAAACTCTTTAAAAAAAAAAAAAAAAAAAAAATGCAAAATTTGTTAATAATTACCATGATGACAAATTGAGGAATTTCTTTATTAACAAAAGCAAGTAATCCAACCCAAAATATCCATTTGTGCACACAATTAGAAAACTTTGCACTTAAATTCGGATGATTTCCAATCTTTGAGGATAATATCATCAATGAATAAATGTCAACCACCGATAATAACGTGAATAAGGTCGTTATCAAATAATGCTTCTTCAACCATGGTCTGCAGTAATAACTAATTAAAAATATCGCTACCGTTTCGTTGAATGTGGTAGATATTAAAATAATTGTTACGCTGTTAAAAAAATAAATGTTAACTTTCTTTCTTTTTTTTTTAAAAAAAAAAAATAAATAAATAAATAATAGACCTTGCTGTGTAAAGTCCTTTTACAGCCTTTGAATATTTTATCGTGAACATGATGAATAAGACATAATTCACAAGTTCGATAAAGAATTTAAACGCGACTGCTGTTTCAGCCTTTTAGATAAAGAGAAAAAAAAAATTTTTTTTTTCAATTTAAATAAATTATGAACTTTATAAACAAAAGCCTATTTATACCTTTGGATTTTTACGTTGTTCGATAAAACATAGTAAGACGACTAATAAAATTCCCGCGATGAATAAAATGATGATGAACGAATATTTGATCCAAAAGTTTTCTGCACATAAATTATACGTAAAGTAAAATAAAATAGAATAAAATAAAACGAGAAAAATGATTATATTCCTTTTCTTACCAACTTTAATAAGCCCATAATTATCGTCTAATAAACTAGTATATTCCATGAATATCAATGGTCCCATATCTCGATGGATAATTAGAGAATTCAAATCTTTAATAATATTAACTACATTCATGTCCGAAGTATTCGTTGTTGAAATTACTTCTAATAATAAAATAACTTGTAGTCGTTTTGTTGTTGGATCACGTTGATATCGATATTTGGGAACTAATCGTGATGATGCAACAGGTAAGGCTGTTGCCAATTCATTGCAAAGTTCATTTACAAAATTTATCTTTTCTTTTAAATTTAGTGATTCGTAAAGTTTTGATCCGTAGACCGACAATCGAAATGTTGCCATTGTAGATTCTAGAACAAAAAATGATAGATATTCCTTGATAAATGTGCTCGAACCTTTGCTTATATGACTTAATACTTACCAACAAAAATTCCTGGAACGATTTGTTCTTTATGAACCAATTTATCATAAACAGATTGTTAGAAGAATTTTCTCGCAAGCTGATGATAATCTTGTCAACTTACTCGTCTTAAAAGCCCATATTTTTGGTTGGATTCCCTTTAAAGCTTCACCAGTTTCATCAAGTTTTACAAAATTATCTTCAATTGTCACATAATAATCGGTTAGAGGTTGATTAAACGTACTTGCAAAAGTTTGAATCGTGACTGTTTTATGATTTTCGCTTAAAATACAATATCCTGATCGACCAGAATAGATTTGTCGCAAATGTTTTGGATCTTTTGTTAAAGGGTCGGAATTAGCAAAAATGACAACAGATCCATCAGAGAGTAAGACGGGGTTTTTGTAATGTATAAGGATATGAGAAGTTCTCATCGTAATCGTTCCGTTTATTTTTGGCAATGTCTGAATTATTTGTGGATTAAAATATCCCATGTCTGAAAAATAAATAAAAAAAAAAAGTTTGAGATTTTCTTTTAAAAAATAAATAAATAAATAAAATAATATGAACCATTTTCAATGGGAATTTTAGGAAGTTCCGTCATATTTAAAATCCAATTAGTATCATTTATTTGTTTTACAGCAACAAATTTGTTATCAGGAAGAATACTATAAGGGTTTCCATTGGAATCTACGAGAAATGGTTGTGGTAGAGGCCTTTGTTCCAATAAAAGAAATAAATATATTATATAGTTCATTATTATATAAAGCAAATCATATTGAGACATACCAATTATTTTGAAAATCTCCAGTTGAATTGAGAATGAAACCATAAATTAAGTTCCCAATTTGATTGCGGGTACTTGCTGTCAAGAGGTAACTATTTTTTTTTTTTTTTTTAAAAGATATCATTTTAGATAATTTTAATTACTACTCGCTTTAAATTATTTTAAATCTTACCCTCCGAAAAGCAACGGATTCACTATCAGTTCATTTAAACCTTCAAGGTAATTCGCCCATTTAGTTTCAACATTTTTTAAGTATCTAATTTAAAAGGTTCGCAAGTCAATCTCAATTTCATTTATGTTTAAAAGAAACAATAACCGTCAATATACCCGAATGTGGAAAAAGATAATTTCAAAATAAAAATATCATTCCCTTCAGAAATGAGAAGCTGACAAATATTCTCACTTCCATTATAATCAATATTACAATTCAAAGCGATAATATCCGAAAAAGTCATCTCATCACTTGAATACATCAAATAAGATGGAGATGTTTGATCATCATGAGCAGAGATTAAGATTATTTCTACGCGCAAAGTTGATTTTTGACCTTCACTAGAAAATCTTGTTACTACCAAACAATAATTTCCTTCCGTATTTAGGAATCCAGAAGTTCTTACATTTACGCTGCCAGGATTCCCAATCATTCCAGATTTGATATTAGAAATACTTAAGTTACTATTTAAACTATTAGAATGAAGAAAGATGATTGATTTATATAAACTATATCAAGTTCTTTTAAAAGCATGAGCTTGCAACAAAATGATCTCATAGCATACGGGCTAGTAAAGTGATGCCAAATCACATCTCCAGTGTTTTCTAGGATATCCACGTATAAAAACCCAACATTTGCTAATTGACTTGAATGATAAAGTTTCCCAGGAGGTTGTACAATTCCTTCCTTATTCACAGAAGCCTTACTCAGATACGTGTTACTAATTACAAATGTTAAGAACGTTAGCAAATAAATTTAACTAGGTTCGCAAGTATGTTGACCCAACCTAATAAAATCTCCATTCCAATTAACCAAAAGTCCATAAACACTCGCGTCATCAGGATTGCTTGAATTCACATAGGTTGCAAAAATATAATTTCTCAATAAAGGATAAATGTTAATATAATAGTATATGACCCTCTCAATCGTTATTTCACAAAAGTTAAACGCTGGTATTTCCGTAGCTGAAACATTAATCAAGGTTAAGGTTTTATTACTATGTAAAAGTCGAAAATATAAAGCTGGAATGGAACAATTTTCTTGGTCAGAATGAATCAAATGAATCAAGATAGTTTCATCTTGGTATGAATATACATCGTGAACTTGTAAACCATGATCTGATTCATTGAAAGTTATTACTTCGCAATATGTAATGGGAAACAGAAACGTTATGATTAGGCACGAAACAAAATTCCTTAGCGCACATTGCGCGATTCGCATTGCGAAGGAGATAAAGAATGATTTACTTGATTTATTTTCTTAAAAAAAAAAAAAAAAAAAACTCTTTTATCATCATTAACAATTTGACGTGGCAAGGTTAATTCCATAAGGCAAAGAGACAATCTTTGAGGCACATGGATAATAAACAAGCCTCACACAATTACTACTAACAATCTTGCGCCTCATGTTTTGCAAGTTGTTGATTGGACAAGTGTTGTATGTAAAAGTAACATTAAACTAATTTTTTTGAAAAAAATTTTTTTTTCTTTATTGAAATTGGCTGTGTTAAATAAAAACAACAATTTATTATGACTTAAAGGATATCTTTTTTTGTTTATATAGTCGTATAAATAACTTTATAATTTTTTTATTTTAATTCACTTCGTTAAGTTCATACCATACAAACAAAGATATAACCATTATTATTCCTATGCAAAGTAAATCATTATTATTATTATTATATAACTATAAATTTTAATTGGAAATGAAAATTTAGCTTACCGAGATACATTTTCCATTGTTTTCTAATAAAGAACCAAATTTTCATTTCTTGTTCTGCTTTATCCAAATCAAACGTTGCAACATCTCCATTATCGTACAAATTTACTTGAAAATCAAAAATAAATAAAAATTATTATAATCAAATTCGATAAATTTTATTAATTTTATAATAATCATTATACTTACATAATATATTTCCATTACTCTGTATTCTAGAGACATTTAATATCTTTACTGCTATTACGTCCTTTAAAAGAAATGGCTGGTGTTAAGCAATCTTCTTTATTTATTTTTTTTTTTTTAAAAAAAAAAATTAAAGCTTACTAAACCAGACCGACTAAGAGAATCCAAATATGATGATTGAATAACCATCCTTAATTCCCAATTGTCTTCAGTTTTGTTTATAAGTTTATTATCAGCATCAGTTAACCTTGCAAACAAACCTTTCTTCATTCGAGATGATGGCGGGACATTTATATCAGCACCTCCTCTCTTATAGATTAAAATGAAATTCTCCTTTATAATGAAATAATAACATTAATAAAGTTGAATAATAAATGGATTTATGGAATAATATTTACCATAGTCACCAGCGCCAATAAATTACCATTAGCATTGATTTCAGTTCCTACGATCTGGAATTGTCGTTCCTCAAGTAAAGGAAGATATTCACTTCTAACTATAAATGCTTCAGTTGAATTTGTACCTTGTGGGTTGGGATCCGCTGCTGTTGTATTGCTATAATCAAACGTGAATAAAATATTATTCAAAGCGACACAGATTGTTGTCACGTTTTTTGCTGTAACTAATTTGATGTTAAAAATATTTAAGTTGTTGTGAATTTATTATTATCATTGATCAAGAATGTCTATCATCATTTACCTACAACAGGTTTCGGAACTGCGATTGGTGGAACAAGAGTAATCCCGCGCGCAAAATCAAATTGGTCATACTCGAGTTTCTTTGGTGTCGACGGCGTATACTTTTTATTTTTCAATCAACATAGAACAACGTTAATTAAAAATTAAAAATTGATTTTTTTTTTTTTAAATAAATTTATTTAAGATTACCCCAATTATTATCTTGGAACGCCAACGAAAAGGGCTCATGTCTGATTCCTCAGATGATGACGAGGAGTTATGAATTGAAGATGAGTTATGAATGACGGTTACTTGAAATGTCCAAACTTCATCATTTGCTGTGACTTCAACATTTAAAACTCGAATCACTCCTGGCCTTCAATATAAAGATATGTATTAAGGTGATGTGATTAGATAGGATTGAATGAACAAAAATATTTTACAAGTCGTTATAACTCACACAGCGTAAACGCGTCGAAAAATTGAAATTTTTCTCCAAAAAGGGTTTAATGGACCGATTTCTGATAATATATGAAATATGTTAAATCTTGTAATATTAAAAGCATAATCCGACAGATATTCTACAAACTTTGTATCGGTCCTGGATCACTAGTTTTTAATGTTAATGCACTTATCTTGCTCTTTGGAATGTCAAACACATTTTTAGGTATTAATATTGTTCTAAATTTGGCATCGTCTGGATTCCTGTTAATTTACACATAAATTTGATTTTAAATTTTTGCATTATTTTAAGATATTTATTTAACATTAAACATCTACCTTGAATATAAGATGATTGAACCGTCCACATGAAATGATTTAATATTAGTCGTTCCTGGCAATGTTATGTCCTGAAATTTAAAGGATGGTGAAATATGACACGTGTGTGATGAAAGTTTTTGACATTCACCTATAAATGGAAAGAAATACAATTATTTTAATGTCAAATATATATTAAAATAATAATAATCATAATTTTTTCATGCGTTGATATTCTTACTTAATTCAATAGTTTCAGTTATTTCTTCATAATGACCTATATGATATAATCTCATGACGAATTTAATTTCCTCTTTTCCATGTATTTGATACAAAATTGCCAATGCATTATTTTCGTGATAATCCGTGCCTGCCGTTGATATTGACCCATCGTTATAATAGAAACTCGATATATGCGTTATAGGACCATCAAGTCGATGACTATAAAGAAATTCCCAATCTATAAAAGACAAAAATTTGATTTCAAATTCTTAAAATCATTTTTAAATAAAGATAAATTTTAACTCACTGTTATTCGAAGCATAATTATTACGTAATATTGAAAGTAAAGGCCTCTTATATTGTCTGATCAAACCTATAAGGATTAAAGATCGAATACATTTATTATGGTATAAAATGATTAAGAGCCCTATTGTTATAACTTACCCATAGCATCGTCATAAGGTACTTCGTGCTCTTTCCATATTGCTGTTAAATAAACCCAATCATCCTGCACTGATATAAATATTCCATTTGGTTTAATATCTCCGAATAAATCTTCTCGGGATACCATAATGTTCCGTGGGTATGGAAAAGGTGCAGAATGTAATGATATTATCAAATATATAAAACATAAGCCTAATGCAAGCGTAATTAATGGCCTGTATCGTTCCATCATATTTATAGAAGGAACGAAATATGTGTATTGTTGCAATCTATATAAAGGCAATAAATAAAATAAATCTATTGGAAGTGTTTCAAAATTTTTTTGAATAGTTTGAAAAGAAATCCGTCTTCGATCAATAATACTTGATGCTAAATTAAAATTATGCACGTGAAAAGGCTCGGAATGCATACCGGCCAATTCAAAATTGCGTCGTCTATATATAGTTAGTCCTCAAATTTCATTTCGGAAATCGACCTGACTCTGCGATCATAAAATTTATTATTGGCCAAATTGAGACATCAAATGTATTAATTCATCCTCGGAAAGAAGCTGGAGTCATAACTATTGTTGTTAGGTGTTTGTTTGTTATCTAGCTAATCAGGTTAAAGTTTAAACTTTATTTCTTTGCGTAACGCTATTTTCAGCCATCAGAATAAGGTTTTAGAGATGTGCAACGCACATGATTTAAAATTATACGCCTAAAAAAAAGGAATATAAATGAGTTTTTAAATTCATTAAGAATTTAAATTTTTTTCAATAATGACCTCACCTTATCCAAGATTAGTTCGGGGAATTACCTTCGATCGCTGTGATAAGTTTATATCACGGAATTTCTATTCGGATGTGAACCTATACTCTCAACTTTACAAGAAATGTGAAAGCTCAAAGGACTATATTGAACTTCGCGTTTATTCGGTTCCAAATTTGGAGCGTGTTACCTTTGAAGAAGCTATAAAGTGTGAATTCAAAAAGGCTGCATGTGGTGACCAATTTGGTCCAAGCTGGGTACGTCGATTGATGCCAACTGTGTTATCGAATTAATTATATAAACTTTAATTATTATCTTGTTAATTTTAGTCGACACACTGGTTTCACATATCTGTCAAGGTTCCTGAAAATTGGAAAAATGAAGAAGTACATTTCATATGGGATTCTAATAGTGAGGGAATGATTTGGACTGTAAAAGGAGTTCCTCTTCAGGGTCTCACCGGTGGTTGTAAGTATATCGTTCAAACAAATTCTTATCTCTAAAAATTTTAACTCATTCCTTATGTAATTAGATGGTAGCGATCGTAGAGCAGAGTATATTCTTACGCGTTGTTGTAAGGGTGGAGAAAAGTTCGAATTTTATCTGGAAATGGCTTGTAATGGTAAGTCAAAATTCTTTGATTTCGTTTTTAATTTTAATTTAATTTAATTAAATTTGTTATTACCATGCTGTTTTTATAGGCATGTTTGGCAATGGAAGCAATACAATAAATCCCCCAGATCCAAACAGGACTTTTTGTCTAAATACGGCGGAATTGAAGGTTCCTAACAAGGATGCATGGGGTCTATTCTATGACTTTCAGATTATACGTGATATGGCTAAAGAAATTCCCGAGGATTCTGTTCGATCAGCTCAGGCTCTTTATGTTGCCAATAATATCATCAATATTTTTCAGCCAGGTGACGATAAATCAATTCTTGAAGGTCGTAAAGTCGCTAAAGAATTCCTGAAAAACAAAAATGGAAGCACACAACATAAATTGACCGCGGTTGGTCACTGTCATATCGATACTGCTTGGTTATGGTATGTGATAAATGAGAAATTAAAATTTTTCATAAGATGGAATCTGCATAATACGTTTTGCCGATAATAGCGTTCAATTTTTTTTACTTTACTTTAAGGCCATTTGATGAGACTAAACGTAAAATAGCTCGAAGCTGGTCAACTCAAGTTGGTTTGATGGATTTATATCCGGATTATAAATTCGTGTGCTCTCAAGCTCAACAGTTTGAATGGTTACAAGAACATTATCCGAAACTATTTGACATGGTCAAAAAAAAGGTTGAAAAGGGCCAGTTCTTGCCAATTGGTGGTGTATGTATTGTATATTTTTATTAAAAAGAATTAATTATTATATCGATCAACCATTAAAAATTCTAATTCTTCATAATGTAGACTTGGGTTGAGATGGATTGTAATATTCCCAGTGGTGAATCATTTTGTAGACAATTTTTATATGGGTAATTCATTAAAAATATAATTAAAATTTTCATGAAAACCTTCTATTTTAAATCTTAACATCAATATTCGTGATTTAGGCAAAGATACTTTGAACATAACTTTGGAATGAAAAGCAAAGTGTTTTGGCTTCCAGATACTTTTGGTTATTCCGCTCAGTTGCCACAGATTATCAGAGGTGCCGGACTTAAATATTTTTTCACTCAAAAGTTATCGTGGAATAATATAAACAAGGTTTAAATCAACTTCAACGATTTCTGTTTTATTCAAATAATTTTTTTATCTAAAGTTAAGGTCTTTAATTCTTTTTTGTCAGTTCCCCAACACAACTTTCTATTGGGTGGGACTTGATGGTAGTAAGGTTCTGACACACATGTGCCCAGCTGAAAGGTAAGAAAATTTTTATTATGTTGATTAAAAATTCTTTTAATTTAATTGAACTCTAATTCTCGTCTAAATCATCAGCTACGTTTCTCAATGTACACCAGGAGAACTTGTTAATAGTGTTAGAAATCACAAGGATAAAGAATATAGCAACGAAAGTCTTTTAGTCTTTGGAAATGGAGATGGTGGAGGTGGTCCACTTGCTTCTATGATTGAACGTTTAAATCGAATGAAAGATATTGTAAATATAGTTGAAATTTCGTGTTTTTATATATATTTTTTTGGCCTTTTAATTAAACGTGATTTTCCTTATAATTAGGATGGGCTGGCTAAAGTTGAGATGGGATCTGCTGAAGAATTTTATGAAAGAATTGAAGAAAGTTCTAAAGAATTAGTCTCTTGGAAGGGAGAATTAGTAAGAGATATATTAAAATTTTATTCAACTATATTGATATTATTGTATGACTAATTGAAATTATTTATAATTGTAGTATTTTGAGCTTCACCGAGGTACATATACTACGCATGGTAGTATCAAGCGATACAATCGCAAATCGGAATTTCTTTTGCGAAATGTTGAGTTAATATCAACTATTAATCTCATTAAATCTCAAATTGAAAACAAGGATGCCAAGTAAATATATTAATCGTTCTTTGTTTACATTATGTTAGATATTTTCTCACTTTATCATCTTAACTTTGTTTTAGCTATAATTATCCAAAAAAAGAATTGGATAAATTATGGAAATATGTTTTATTGTAAGTGGATCTGCATTTACACATTGAATATGAAAATTAGGAAGCAAAAGTTGATTAAACTTAAATCTTATAGGAACCAGTTTCACGATGTATTGCCAGGGTCGTCTATTGAAATGGTTTATGTCGATGCTACTAAGGTATGAATTTTTTATAGGACAAATATTAATTCATTATTTACATCAGATTTTAATTTTTTCTTATAGTTTTATAAGGAAGTTGAAGAAAAAGGAAATTTACTTCTTGAAAATGCTTTCGATGAATTATTCCAAATTTCAAAGAGTTCCGGATCTTCCGAAAAAGGTGATAAATAAATTTATTAGTTTAGCTCATGTTGTATCAATTAGTTTAATACAAATCATTTCTTTTTTTCATTAGGATTATTGGCCTTTAATACGCTTGGTTGGAATAGGACTGAAGTAGTCGAAGTTCCCGTGTGTGAGGGAGTAGACAAGTTACCACAAATTTCAAATGACGAGAGAACTGGATTTATTTTAGGTTTGTTTCATATTTTTTTGATTTTGATTAATATAATATCATGACATAATCTAATCCTTACATACTACTATAGTTAACGATGTCATTGGAATTGGAGCACAAGGAATTGATTTAGGGATTCCCACCAGTTTTTCACCAGTTACTGGTATTGTATTCTTATGTTTAATTGAATCCCGATATTTATATGATTTCATTTTTATTCTCATTTGCAATTTTTATTTAGTTCGTATGATTGATAATGATCATTTTTGCTTGCGGAATCAATATATTTGTTCGATATTTGATAAATATGGTCATTTAATAAGCTTAATTGACTCTGACTCAAAATCAAGGTAAGCATCATTAATGAAATGATATAATAATAATTTATACTAAAAAAAAATTTTCTTTATTTAGTCGAGAACTTATTCCCAAAGGTCAATATGGAAATAAGTTTAATATATATGAAGATATTGTATGTATGACTATGTTTAATAATTTCATTATAAACTTCAATGATTAATTATAAATTTTTTTGTTCGTTAGCCATTATTCTGGGATGGTAAGTAATATAATATAATTTTTTTTAATCAACTTTTATGTTCAGATTGATAATATACAAATTATGAATTCATTCCTTTTCCTATAGCATGGGATGGTATGTATTATCCGAGTTAATCTTGATTTTAAAATATATATTGTTAAAATTATTAAAATGATTTTATATTTTGAAACATATAGTTGAAATTTATCACCTGCAAAAGGGTCGTGAGGCAGAACTTGGCACTGTCAAGGTTTTATATCTACATTTTTATTTTATTGATATTTTTGCTAGTCATATAACGAGAGCTTTTCTAAGTCGGCTTGATTTCTCTAGATATTTGAAACAGGACCACTTAAAGCCTCATTGATACTTGAATCTAAAATTACCGCAACGAGTACACTACGTCAAGTTATATCATTAAGTGCAGTTTCATCAAGAATCGACTTTGATACAACGGTAATTTGGGATGAAAATAGGCAATTCTTGGTAATTATAAATATATTTTCAAGTAGAATTTATTGCTCTAAATTAGTATTATTTACTAACTTTTCTGCATATCCATTATAGAAAGTAGAATTTCCGTTTGATATAAACAGTGATTATGTAAATATTATATAATGTTTTGTTTTTTAAAAAATTATAAAGCATAATTAATTGATCACCGTTTGGATGTTGTAGGCTACGTATGAAACTCAATTTGGATTCATTCAACGGCCCACACATTATAACACCACATGG